GGGGGGGGGCGACCGGGTGGGTCCGCTCGTAGGCGTGCACGTGGCCTAAGAAAGAAGTACAGTGTCGCGTGATGTCTCTTTTTCTGGGCCCGCTCGTAGAGGCGCACACGGCCTAATAAAAGAAGTCGATCTGCGCGCGTGCTTCTTCGTTCTGGGCCCGGCGTGCTCGTCGAGGGTGCGCGCGGCCGTTGAGGACGAGGTCTGTTCCCGCGGCGAGGAGGAGGGGCTCGAGGTCCTCTCGCATCCTCGCGCCCTCGCTCATCGGGTGGTGGCGGTTGGAGGTGTACCTCAAAGGGGCATCACCGAGTCGCTCTCACCACGCGAGGAGCGCAGCTCCCCATATCTCCCCATATCTCCCCATATCTCCCCGCTCCTCGTCGCTCCTGTGTGACCGTCACCGCCCGTCGTGCGTCCGCCCATACCGCGCCAGTGTCCCTGTCGTTGGTCGGACTGTGTTTCGCCTTCCTACCTATCTATCCGCTCCTCGTGGCGGTTGGAGGCGTGCCACGGCATGAGACGCGGGGAGATATGGGGAGATATGGGGAGATACGGGGAGGTACGGGGAGATATGGGGAGATATGGGGAGATGTGGGGAGATATGGGGAGATATGGGGAGGTATTGGGAGATACTATGGGGAGATACGGGGAGGTATTGGGAGATACTATGGGGAGATATCATGAGAGGCGCGCCACGGCGTGTGCAGCACTGCGATCAGCCAGGGCGTGCGGCGGCGGTCGACCGAAGCGAGGTCGCGTGTGAGCCACTCATGCTGCGGCGAGCCTGCACGACATGTCCCGGACATGTCCAGGACATGTCATGGACCTGTCAGTCACTCATGCTGCGGCGAGCCTGGGCCGCTCGCGGCGTACGAGCAGAGCATCATCACATGCGCCGGCCCCGCCTCGAGAGAAGGAAGGAAGGGTCACTTTCCTGGTGGGGCAAGGGCCAGGCAGCCCTCGCATCCCCACACGGGCTGGAGCCGGCACGGCACACTCAAAGTGCAAGGGTCGGTGCAGGGAGGTGAGCACTCCACCTCGCCCGGGAAGGCTGGGTGGGTTCGGGTACCGTGGGGTAGGGGAGGGTGGGTTCGGGTACCGTTGGGGTAGGGGAGGGTGGACCCACCTCTGCCGGGAAGGCGGAGATGTGGGGGAGATATGGGGGAGTGGGGAGATATACCTCGAGCGAGTACCAGAGGAAGGAGTCGGACTGCGCTGCGGCGTGGCCTACCAATAACTGCTTCGCGATGAATGATTCACTGTGAAAGGAGTCGGTCCGCGCGGCGGCGTGGCCGTTTGGGTACCGCCGCGAGTACGCCAGCCAGTTCTCGCCCCCGCTGCTGACCTAGGGTGAGGGTCAGGGTTCGGGTTGGGGTCAGGGTCAGGGTCAGGGTCAGGGTTGGGGCAAGGGTAAGGGTACGGGTCAGGGTAAGGGTCAGGGTCCGGGTTGGGGTTGGAGTAGCTCTCGCCTCGTGGTTCCCTCCG